GATTTGTTGAGAGAAAGGTTATGACGAATGGATCTGCAGGATAGTCAGGTTGCTGCATAGATTATCGACATGAACCACTGCAACAATTGTGACGTACCTGCCAGCCGGCTGCGGGCTGGTGCCTGTAGTAGGCATAATTTGCAGTGATGAAATTGTAGATCCCGTTCAAATTGAGCTTTCCATCTGGTGTGTTGATGATAGCTTGAGTTATCATTTGCGCATAGCTGAACTGCGGTTTAATGTGCCTGTTGTCATCCTGGCTGAGGTCCACATCGTTGGCACTCAGCAATAGAGTACCTGAGCTGGAGTAGCCAGGCGACTTGTGCTGCGCAGACAGAACCTTGCTTCGTGCCGACGGTGGTGTGCCGGGACGCTTGTAGTCGGGAGGCGCAGGCGCGATAGGTTGACGAAAGGGCTGTGATCTTCCAGAAGAGACTGGCTGTGATGAAGGTGGTTCGTCTGAGGGGCCTGCAGCTGAGGGTGGTGGAATGGGACTTGTCACGTCTTGCTTGGGTATACCGAGTCTCTTGAGGTAAATCGGATGGATGTGGAGGGTGCTGATTTCTGTGGGCAAGACAAACATCATCTCCGTACCGCCAACATCTAGCACCTCGCCGCTCTGGAGCGGACGGGAAGTGCCTTGTTTTAAAGGACTATTGTTGGCTTTGACACCGTTGCGGCCGATAACCTCAAGGAACCAAGACTCGTCTTCCGAGTTGAAGAAGATACGTGCATGGCGTCGAGAGACGAGCTTACTGGGACCGAGATCTATATGCACAAAGTCGTCGGACTCAGGGTCCTCCTGCTGTTGAGTGCCCGAGGCGGCGGGATCCGCGGCTCGGCCAATATTGACGTTGAGCTTGGTGACATAGAAGGTCCAATCCTGGGCGGCGATCTTGGCATAAGCCTTGACGCCGTCTTGGTTGGCCTCATGGATGACATTTGCATGATCTTTACTGGCTTGTATGGGGCCCTCTTTGGGATAAACTAGATGCTGGACAACCTGCGAGAGAAGTTGGTCGTCCGAGTTGCTGGGACCAGAGGGGTCGGCAGTGAGAGTCGACTCGTCGTCCTCGGCGGGTTCGGAGGCGGGAGGTTCTGGAGCCTATGGTGAGCAAGTCAAGTCAGCAGCTTGCCACATCATAGACACTTGACCTGAGGCGCGACGGGCGTGTGAAGCAGGGCGTGATTTTACCTTCTTGCGACGCTTTGAAGGGCGGGTTGGCGAAGGTTCTTCGGGCCTTTCTGGAGGGGATTGGGCCTGGTGTGTATTACGCCGCGATCGTTGTATGCGTTTCGTAGATGGAGGCATGCTTCGTATCTGGTGGCAGCAGCCAGCGGCCGACGTGACAGCTGAAGACGCTGCAACAGGCTGGGTTGAGTGCCGGTGGTGATTTGCGAGCAGTAGGGTGGCAGGGCTTGAGTACGTGCCTGCGCGACACCTCTCCGTTTCACAGGATATGGTGCGATTGGGAGGACGTCAAGTCTGACGGCAGTGATGAGGAGGAAGATGCCGAAGAAAGGTTGACGGCTGGTTGTGTTGATATCTGTGCAGAGATGACGCGATATAGGGAGGATGAGCAAGTGAACAGAGTGTCTCGAGGCAGAAAGCTGCAGGCTGGCAAGGGAATCGCGAAACACGAAAGACCGTAATGGAGCGCGTCACTTGAGTGTTCCGCCTCGTGCACCAAAGGTCGAGGGTCAAGGAGCCGGTTCGGGGCAGGGGTGTCTCAGAGCATGCATGTACCTCTACACAGTTATAGAGAGCTGCCATACCTCGACAGTGGGGACGATGCGGAGGGGGGTCAAAAGTAACAGGCCAGACAGAAGGGTTAAAAAAAAAAACTTACGTACCTGGCTGGGTAGTTGCTAACCAGACGAGTTAGCGTGGTATTGGTCATGACGACACGCACCTTGCTTTTCTGCCGACTCTATCAAGACATGCTCACGGGCTCAACGCGAGCATACTGAGCATCGGGCAGTTCGTTATTTAAAGCCATGCCACAGAATGCCATGGGCTATCGATTCTCACCACTCTCGTTCGACACCAGAGCTTTTGGCACATGTGCTGCACTTTCCGGCCGCACAATAAAGCCCTAATCGAAATACGGGGTCGAGTTACAAGCCCCCTTGCAGACCCAACTGTAACATCAGCTAGGTACATGAACCCGCCTAAGGTGCCTGCCTACCTACTCACCTACCCAGTCACCAAGCTACCGGAACCTGTGCCGTCAGCACAACTGGACCTCATGGTTCAGCTCAACACAAGGCCTCGGTGATCAGGTAGGGAAAAAAACAAAATGCACGAAATCATCACTCTGCAGCTGGGTCAACCCAGTAATTACGTGGCTACTCACTTCTGGAACACTCAGGTCAGACAGCCTCGCAGTCTCATTCTGGACACTGTTATCATGGTCTCTCGCTCTGCCTGGCGTAAGGTGCTAATTCAATTCTGTCTCCCCGTATACAGGAGTCATACTTTTCATATGCAGACGATGACGAAGAGCCGACCGTCGACCACAACATACACTGGCGGCCTGGGCGAGGCGCCGATGGCGCCAAAACCTTCCTGCCGCGCACCGTTGTTTATGATCTCAAGGGCGGCTTTGGCTCACTCCGCAAAATAAATGCCCTTTATGACCCCGGCGACGATCCTTCTGCCGCACTCTCCTGGGACGGCGCATCTGTAACCCACAAACTCCCACCCGTTGCTCCCACGGCTTATCAGCAGAGCCTGGATGCTGGGCTTGTGCCTCCCGAGCTCGACGAAAGTCATGTACGCTACTGGTCAGATTTTAGCCGCACATTTTATCATCCCAAGTCGCTTAACCAGCTTTACGATTATGAGCTCAACTCATCAATCAGGCCTTTCGACAAGTGGCCCCTAGGCCAGGAGCTCTTTCAATCTCTCGACAAGGAGCATGACATCGCCGACCGCGATTTCCGTCCTTTCGTGGAGGAGGCAGACCAGATGCAAGCCATCCAGGTCTTTACCTCTCTCGACGATGCCTGGGGAGGTTTTGCTGCCGAGTACCTGGATCGCATGCGTGATGAGTACCCCAAAGCAACCATACTTGTCTGGGGCCTCCACGCTTCCCAACAAAGTCGCCTTCACCTGACAAACGTTGCCCGTTCGACGGCGGCCCTCTGTGAGCATGCCTCCCTCGTCATACCCATGAGGATACCCCGCGCCGGATTGCCTTCCAACGTCCGCCTCAACTCCGCCTCTCCATGGCAAACGAGCGCCTTGATGGCCACCGCAATCGAGACAGCCGGTCTATCGTCACGGGCCAAATTTGGTTCGTCTCGCTACACCCTCGGCCACTTGACCGAACGCTTGAACCAGAGCGGAAAGCAGGCCTTGGCTCGACTCCAGATGTCTGCCTCTGCTAGCTCAACTACGCCGCTAGAACCACACGACTCCAGAGCAGGGAAGCAAATGGCAAGCGATGAAGACCTGCCCCTGGATATAGATCTCCTTGACTTGGCCAAAACGAAGCCTAGGCCAAGTCCAGACCACAGCCATCCTCATGTCTTTGGTAGGGAATGGACTTGTCGTGGATGGAACTCCCTAGCTCGAGGGCAACAGGACGAGACCGATGTCGCAACCAGCTCAGCACGAACAGGCCGGGCTACTGAGCATGTGTCAGTACTATTCTTATTGCCTCACTGTTCTTGTTTCCATCTGACGCCCAGATACACAGCCATTCCTTTGATATTGCATTCCCCCTCCTCGACAGTTTCCCGAAGATCTACACCGCCCAAGAAACAGAGCCAAAAGAATTCGTCGGTGTCGAAACGTGTCTGTCGACGGACAGTACAGTGTCAGAGGCTGTGAACGGATTGCGCACGTTGACCACCCCTTTACTCGGCATCGAAGACCGAGAAAACATTAGCAATGATCTTGCAGAGCTAGCTGAGGCATATCGGGATGGGTGGTCCAGTGGCAGTGACGATGGCGACGATAGTTGAATGGACACCCCAGCTCAAATCGCAAACTCAACCAAAAGTGATGTGTCATTCTGTCTTCAAGTCAATTCAATTCTCAACTAGCTAGTCCTTGAGAGGCTTATTGAATACATCGGAGGTTTGCAAATAGAGTGCAACCGTCGTCAAATTACAAACTAGGCACGCAATGCCCGTTACAAGCGCCAACTGCAACAAGGCGAACCACTACAATGAACGACAGCTGCCCACTGGATTCCTCCTGACGCTTATTTTTTGTTTGCCATCGCCTGAAAACACACCAGCGGCGCGTGGACACTTTTCCCTGGGCGGAGGCATTACATTCTTCGTAACTTTCCTGCCCATAGAGAAGTGCTGGAAAATAACTTACGGTTTTTCCTCAACTGGGTGAGGTCTAGTTAAGGAGTTGCGAATCTGCTACAACCCAGCTCGACTCACATAAGTAGCCGCATGAAGTACCTCGCCTATGGAACATGAACATGGCGGTTCACGAAGCATGGGATCGAGTACACCCTAAAGGAAACGGACGCTTCGCCCGGAGTTGGTCAGTCGACTCTTTAGTCTCACAGGTTGTGGACCACTACCCGGCGCCACAACCTTCCGTGGGAAACCATATCTTCCCTACCCTGCCAGAGCATTGGCAAAAGCTGTAATGTTCGGCAGTGTGTACTTGCAGGCATTCAACTGTGTGAGATCAACCAGCGGCTGCTGTGATTGAAGATTGCTGACGCTTCGCTGGTGGCTGCGCTTCCTGTGATTAATGAATTAGCCATCCCATCTGAATACAGAGCAGCAAGGCCCAAGCGGCAGCCGAAGGTTGCCCGAGGACGCTGATTTCATACCTCCGAGGCGCCGCGCTTCTTCGTCTGCGCCGAGCCGTTGGCGCCAGCTGCTCTCTTCTGTTGCTTCTGCGGCTTCTTCTCGCCCGGTTCGAAGAGATCGTCGGGAAGATTGAAGCTGCATATTGTCAGCCAAAGACCGCCGAAAGAGTCGCACCATCCAAACTTACTTCCGAACGTGTTGGACCGTTAAATGGTTAAGTTTTGCGCTGTACTTCTCCCACTGGCCGCATAGTTGCTTAAAACTGTCGACTTGATAGGAAAGATCAAGTGATTTCGCGCCTGACTGGTCAGTGTTGCCAACAGTGAATTGAGTGCGAGATGAGAAAAATGGACGGGATTTCAGAAGAGCCAGACTTATGCATGTCATTGCTTACCTTCGCCCAGCTCGAGACCGATGTAGTGAGTGGTAGTGAAAACGTTTGTCGGCCATGTCTGCACCTCTTCTTCGACCCCTTCACCAGTTCCATTGGCTTCGGTTCCCGTCTCCGTAGTTCCATCCAATGGTAAGCCGTCTAAGGCAAGACCGCCTTCGGTCTTTGCAACCACGATTTCGGGGTTGGGGGTCTCTGTAGTCTCTTGCCCGGCAAGATACTGTAAACTACCTTCCTGAACCTGGCTGAGTTCAGTCTCGTTGTGGCAAACGTGACGACGATCGTAGCCTTTGTTGAAAGCGTGAGCGATAGCAATAGATTGATGCTGCTCAAGTCCTTGGGACAAGCACGCGGACCTTGGACTCAACATAGCCAGACCATATTTTGTGCGCCTCTTTGGTGGTGCTGGTTGTAACAACGGAAATGTAATACTTGTACCCTGAGGTAAAGAAGGTATGTTTGATGAAGAGGTCGCCCCACGGCCGTTTGGAAAGCATTACGTTGTCTGTAATTTCGCAACCGCGTTGCAGCTCGCGCTGTATAACCGTCATGGCCGACTTGGTAATGTTGAAGGTTGCACACATGGACGGGTACGCGGGTGTGATGATGGGCATCAAATGGAATTGGTCGCCGCGGTACAGCTAAATCCAGACCATCAGTAACCGGACATGTCCTGGGACTCAATAGACCAAGATTTGAGATGTAGCGCCAACCTTTGGGTTCCAAACGCGGACCTGTAGAGGCCCCTCTTCGACTGCCTTGAGGAGGACAGGTTGCGGCCAGGGCCACCGCCTCATGATGTGGAAGAACTTGTTAACAATGACGGAACTGGTGGCCTTTGGATACAGTTGGCAGACTCGAGCCACGAGCATGGCCCACGCAACACCGCCGGGGAAGCCCATAATGTTGGCGTAGATGGCTCGGCGTTGGGCCCAGAGTTTGATTGCTCGCAGAGCAAGCCGGAAGGTGCTGGGCTCAGGTACTAGGTTTATTATCTCGTCGGTGACACGTGTGCCATTCAGGGACCGAAGCTCCCGCTCGTCGAGACCCCTGAGAAGGTTGGAGTCTGCAAGACTCCATTGCGGGTCTTTGGGAAGCTGCTTCAGGCTGGCGATTCGCGAAAAAATCAGATCGATGCTTATGCCGAAGAACTCGAACTTGATGATGGGGACGAATGCGTCAGATACCACGGCCAAATCGGTGATGGCGTCGGCTGGTGTCATCTTCTGGAGAAGGCCCGGGAAGATTTCGAAGTAGTCGTCGCGCGTGACGTACTTGGGAACGACAACAAGAGTATCGATATCGGACCCAGGACCGTAAACCCCGAGCCTAAAACTACCATATGTGAAAATCCTACCTCGGGCATCTTTAATTAATGCTTCGCTGCCTTCCTCTCTCTTTCGTGCCACTTGTTTGACGAATTCATCGCAAATGGTTTGGAGTTGCTCGAGTACCTGGTGTCTGCTCTGGGGATTAGCAGAGTTTTTGGCAACCTTACACTGTCTTTCGTACGCTGACAGACCTCTTTTGTGTTTCTGCCGGTGACTCAAACGTCTTTTGCTGCTTCAGTTCTTCAAGCATTGTCTTGTTGGTCGCATGCTCGGCATCGGTTGGCAACGCGGTGGAGATCGGCGGCGTCACGCCGAGGGGATGGCCCTGCCCAACCATGGTAAATGAACGTTGTCAGGTACGATCAAGTTGCGGATCGGTAATCGAGCAGTGTTTGAGGTTGAAGGTGCAGCGCAAGGCCGTGGTCGCAGGGCGTCAACGGGTACCTTAGGCAACGGCAGGAGCAGGTTCGTGACGACCCCAGCGCCAACAAGCCCGGCCTCTACCAATAGCCAGGATGGATCGATGCGTCGCAATGGCGGTGGTTCCCGGGGCGCGAATGGTTCACTACTGGATGCCAGGGCGTACTACAGGCCGCCTGAGAAACGATTGTCGACAAATCTTCGGGAGGGCTGGTAACTTCGTGAACTGCGGGAAGCTCGTCTACGTTTGGTGACGGCTGCAGTACAAGAGTACGAGGTACGGACCCACCCACTGGGGTCTGCGCTTAATTACGAATCACTGTCATCGCCACATACGTGAGCACCCGCGCGGCTGCATGCAAGGCACCAAATATGTATCCACTGAGGCAACACCGATCCGAACCAAGCGAAGAACAGAGACATGTCCCGGTCAGAGAGGGATTCCAATGATCTTAAACTTATGAAAAAGAACATCCAAATCCAATAAAATATGCTCCGAACACCTTGTACTTCTCATCATCCAAGCCAACCGAAAGCTGCGTCTACATGTTTCACGAAGAGAGTATCCAAAAAGCCACACAACCCATCACAGAAGCACTGCCTGCGAGTTCCAAGGCAAACCAACCCGTCCACTTCATCTGCATCCCCAGCTGGACAAGGCCTAATGGATCTTGAGGCCTAACATTCGACTCTCCTGACATCATACTTCGACGACACGGTTTGCCCGCGGGACCATTATCGCGTGAGGCTAGTGTCAGGGCCATGCGTGCGTCGATCTCCTCTGCGCTCTGGCTCTCTAGCCACTTTGTCCTCTGCTCGTAAAGCGCTCGGTCGCATGCCACACGGTCCCGGACCAGGCTTCTTTGTAGATCGGAAGCCCAGTCAACTAGGCGGACCTGGGTCCATTGTCCCCAATTGCGACCACTCGGCGACCTGCGAAGGGCAGCCGAAACTACTTGGCTGTCTGTACGTCGTGTTGCGACCCCGCAAATTGTCGAATCCATTTCGGAACAGCTGGCTCCATCTTGCCTCTTGCGCCATCTCACCAGCTTTCTGGCCGTTGCATGGCGCAGCCGCGAACTGCCTTCTATGCTGAAAATATGCTCGAGAAGTGCTGTGAAATCCGATGGAGCTAAAGGGGGTATGTATTCAGAATTCATAAGGATACTTGCATCCATGTTTTCTTCGTCAGTGCTGGAACTGCTCGAAACAGCAAAAACGATAGGCACCTCCGCAACCTTAGGTTTCGAGGAGTGGAAGACGAAGGGTGCGATATTTGCTTTTGCTAGTTGCCTGAGTATGAGCTCTTTGCTGCAATCGATCTGTGCAGAAGTCATCGTGTCTGCCTGCGCTATAACAGGTATTACGCTGGTTTTTGGTTCTAGATGTCGAATTAGGTCTAAATCGCGTGACGAAAGGCCTGTTGCTTGTCAGCCAACTGGACTCCCCCCCGATGTGCCAAAATAGTGTAGCTGACCGCAGCCTGGTATCATGAAGATCACAGCGTCGACTAGAACACCTCCCCCATTGCTGATAGTAGACAGCACGTTCGACTCATCAAGCCCGCTCATCATACTCCTTCTTAGATGCTGGTCGATATAGTGCGAAGTTTCAGCGACAATGGACTTCTCAATACACGTCAATAACCCCCAATCACGCCAGCAGCGGAGACATCTCGAGACTTACATGGTTAGTTGTGTTATAGCCTGTAGTGTCAACGAAACAGATATTTCGGTCCAAAACGGAATCGCCCAGGCTTTGCCGACGAGGTGAAAGGCTAACATCGTCCACAAGGCTCCACCAGTCCGGGTATGGTTTTGTGCTTGCGAATGTTTCTGATATGGAAAGGTAAGATCGATCGGCTATCTGATGTCTGTTGACACTGTCGATTGGGGAGCCCATTCTGTGTCTCGATGTGCATTCCGCTGGCGGGTCGACATGGGTGATATGTTCACATCTTTGGATGATGGCCCTGATGAGAGAACTTTTACCAATACCTGGCGGAAAAGGACATCAGTACATGACAATGATCGAGATTGAGTGAAGATGACTTGAAGGTACCTGTGTCCCCGGCCACGAGCAGCTTAAGTCGTCCCAGGGCCTTGCCCTGTTCTGTAAAAGGCCTCCGTGTCGGCACAGCAAGTGTGGGCATGATAAGTTGCGACTCGATATGGTCCATAGACTCAGGGGGTCGGGGTGGATGATCCGTAACTGAATCTTCAAAAGCACTCAAAGCATAGCTTCCGTAACCCTCGGAGAGTGAACAGGACAGGGATCCTCGACGGGAAGATTGGCTGCTGATTACTGAGTCGGCCCAGATAACATCGGTATTGACTGTCCGGGCGCATGATTCATTTCCTGTCAAATACCCTTCCAGCGGTGTTTGAGGCGTAGGGGGGCTGTGGGCTGCAGGTGGTGTATTTGCCGACGAAGTCGTCGCCTTGCTCTGGTCGCTAGCTCGGCATGGAGATAAAACGTTGCTAGAAGGGTAGATGCTTGATTCCTTCCGCGATCTGCTAGGACACAACGGTATAGCTGTTGGAAACTCGCGTGAGGCCCGGCTATCGATCGCAATATCGTCGGTGAATACAAAGCTCATGGGCGAGGAAGCGTTGACGGTGACGAACGAATGAGTGGTGTCGTCACCGCCGACCGTATTCGTGGGGATAGTGTCGCAACCAGGTAGGGGTCGCATGTTGCCACGAGTGGAACATGAATTGTTCTTCAATTAGATAGTTGAGGAGCCTTTAATCAATATTCTTATTCTCTGGATGTTATTGTAGCATTGACAGTAAGTAGAATGGATCAAGAAACAACTTCGTATAGGAAGGGAACTGCCGGCGGGGTGGTCAATGGTGATAAAGGGACAGTGATAAGCCAAAACACCCCCGCTTGGATCATCTTGATCTACGTACCGGGATGTGATCACGAGCCAGGCTGGTGCGGATGAGGGGTTCAAGTACTCCACTTTGTGGCCAGCTCTACTTGATTCAGAGCGAGCGGCACGGCATTCGATTTCGCGCTGTCGCAATACTTTGCTTGGTCCAAGATAAGCCAGCACTGTAAGGCGCCCGATCCTGCAGACCATGTGCCCAACAGTGCCCAAAACGACGATGCCATATACAGCTTGACAGCACTGCCAAACCACGCCGCTCAGATGGTGGCTCGTGGCACATGGCCTCAATGCATAGGTATCGTCGGCTATGCTACAAGCCAACTCATGGAGTAAATGTTTGGGTTGAGGCCTCGCTGTTCCACCCGCACTGCTCGTGCTTTTGAAGGGTTTCAGGTCCGATCCTTCTTAGAAGAAAGGGCACATCTCGCAACTATCCATTTTGGTGATATATCAGGCAAGGTACAATCAAGGTAAAGAAGCCTTCAGTGCTACTTAGGGTACCTACCTAGGTAGGTAGGTTCGTGAGGAGTAGATAGGTAGGTACCACATAGGTAGGCGTCCAGGAATCGATAGACTGAGGTGATTGAAAGCACTCGCCAATGAGGCTGCTGATTCCCACAAGGGATGTGAGCTCCACTAATATGTCACCGCCATGTGACTGGGTTGTCTGACCTAGCGGGAGAAATCTCCCCACCAGCAGCGTTCGAGGCCAAGCCAGCCTCTCCAACTTGACCTTGCTTCCATCACTGCACATCTGGCTTCGAAACAACATCTCTAATCCCAACTTTCCCACTACTGCATGTTTCAAGAGTCTCACGACAGGCGGATATAGTTGATCATCAGGATTACTGATTTCCTGGCAGTCAAAGCATCCCCAAGAAGCCTTTTTTACCCCACCACCCTGCAAATTGAGTATCAAGTAGTGTCTTGGCCAGTCAGAATGGACGGAAAGCGGCATCCGAGCTCTTTCCAACAGCTCGAGAAGCTCGGCGAGGGAACCTATGCGACAGTAAGAGGTCTTTTCAATCGTTGTTTGGTGGGTGCTGATACCGCATCGTTTGCACACAGGTCTTCAAAGGTCGTAACAGACAAACCGGCGAGCTGGTTGCGCTAAAAGAAATTCACCTTGACTCCGAGGAAGGCACTCCTTCTACCGCCATCCGAGAGATATCCCTTATGAAGGAGCTCAAACACGAGAACATTGTCGCCCTCCACGATGTTATTCACACCGAGAACAAACTCATGCTCGTTTTTGAGTTTCTAGATGGCGATCTGAAGAAGTACATGGACACGAATGGCGACAGGGGTGCTCTGAAACCAGCACAGATTAAATCCTTCATGTATCAGCTGCTTCGAGGCATCGACTTCTGCCATCAAAATAGGGTTTTGCATCGCGATCTCAAGCCACAGAACTTGCTTATCAACAGCAAGGGCCAGCTGAAGCTTGGTGATTTTGGCTTGGCTCGAGCTTTCGGCATTCCAGTGAACACCTTTTCGAACGAGGTTGTCACCCTGTGGTACAGGGCACCCGATGTTCTCCTCGGCAGTCGTACCTACAACACAAGTATAGACATATGGTCAGCAGGTTGTATCATGGCGGAGATGTACACTGGTCGGCCACTATTCCCTGGCACCACGAACGAAGATCAACTCACAAGGATCTTCCGCATCATGGGAACGCCGACAGAACGGACCTGGACCGGAATCACCCAGCTTCCTGAGTACAAGCCAACGTTTAGTCTATACGCCACACAAGACCTTCGCCAGATCCTTCCACAAATTGACCCCACTGGCATCGATCTCCTTCAACGCATGCTGCAGCTGCGCCCAGAGTTGCGCATCAGTGCAAACGAGGCACTCAAGCACCCCTGGTTTAATGACATTATTATGCAGCAGCATCAGCAGCAGCAAGCCCTACAAGCCCAGGCTCGAGCTTATACCCCTGCGCAGGGCTCTTACGAGGGCTACTAGCCAACTGCCCCTGCGAAGCCTAGAGCATGACGATCAGGCGTCAAGTATCTCGTCTCAAACTGTCTTATATTACACTCCGTAACGCTCCTGCCGCGGAAGCCGGCGCAATTATCTCTTTCGAACCCTAGGCGGTGGCCTTTGCCAATTCGGTTCCCCTGGTCCCAGGAGCGGATTTAAAGAGTACTCATTCCTTGTGGACGAAACTGCCGTCCACTGGACTTCGAAATGCCATCTTCGTGGGCTCACGTATCCAGGTCTCGGCTCGCGCGAAGGACGGGTCGTCTTCCGGATACCCTGACGAGGTTCTCAGGCGCGCCACCTGGCTTCTCACCAGTTCAGCCACCTTCTTTCTCAAGTATATGGCTTCTTCCAGCCCCTCAAGAGCTTCCGGAGCGAGAGGTTTACCGGAGTCCCCAATACGAACTTGGTGCTCCTCCACCAGATGTCTCCACCTCTTACGAAACTCGCCAAAAACTTGATCCACATCTACTGCATCACCAAACACAACCCTTACTTTTCGCCCAACCCGCGGAAGCCAGCGCGGTTTTCCTCTGTTCTCATGCATGATGAGATGATGCCCGTCAATGAACATGGGCACAAATTTTGGCGCAGGGTTGCTCTCGAGGATCAAGCGAGAAACGCCCCATTTGAAGTATCGGAGTGAGAGTTCCGGGTGCTGGTGGACGCATGCTTCTGGGAATATATGCACCCAGGCGTTGCGTTCTTCATCATAGGCCGAGGGGGCAGGAAACACGTCACCCGCTTTGGTGGTGAAAGTAGGTCCCGAAGCGCCGGACGGCGGGCTTGTTGCTTCTCCAGAGAGCACGCGAACGGCCTCGTTCATGGTCGGCTGAAACAGGCCCCCATGAGGCGAATATAGTAGTCGATGGGTTGGTAGAACCTGGCCGAGGCTAAAAAAAGTTGACATGAACTTGCTGTATATTCGTAAGCGCTGTTCGTCGTTGTCGAGGTATGTCGTGGTCGCACTGACTTCTTGAAACATATATCGTGAGCTCCGAGCCCCCAACGAAGATTTCGAGGCTTGAAAGCATACTTCAGTGGTAACACTCCCCACGTGACTGGGTCATCTAGCCTAGGGGGGTTGGTTAGGAAGAAGTGTCCATGTATAGGACATGCATAGCCTTACACGCTGATATGGTTTGAGACTGTTACCGCTAGTTAGTAATGCCTAAGGTCTTGTCTTGTCAACAGCGCGATTCTCACCTGTAATAAGCCCTTGCCGACGATTCCCCTCCTGCCGTTCATCCAAAAGCTTAAGGAATGGTTTCAAGCCCTCAGTCTGCACGTCGTTGAGGCCGTACAAGAAGGCTCTGGAGATTGCGCCGGTGAGGCCCATTACAACCGAAGAACTCAAGCGCCATGCCAAGCTCCGCCGCAAGGGCTGTAACTCACCCCCGACCATGCTGTGGTTCTGGGATAAATGACACTGACTTTGCGTGTACGTAAAGTGTAGGTGCTCGAAGAGACTGGGAATCGACAAAGTACAGTTGCTGCACTGTTGAGGAGCGTGAGGACCCATCAATATGGACGTCAATGTTGCTGTGGAGGAATTTCAACATACCTGGATTCAAAGAAAATAGCACATGGCGAGAAGTCGAGGTTACCGTAAAAACGAGTGTCGCTTACAACAACGTACAGAACTCCCACAAAGGGCGTCCTTGGGGAGGATGGACGCAATTGCCGATGTTGTAAATTGATATGATAGTCAGAGAAACAAACGCAGTCGATCGATTCGAAGATTTCGGCACGTGTCGTGACCAGCTGCTAGCAGATGACAGCAGCTGAGGGCACCAGCCTGGCTAAGCGCCGCATACAGATGCGAATCAATCCAGAATACACATCTGTTGGACCTCGCTCCGCAAGATTCCCATTGTGCCGCACTGTCCTCTCACGCAAGTTCGGTTCAACTCCATTGACGAAATACAGAATTGTTCTTACCATGTCTCACAGTAAGGCGAAGAAGCTAGCCCTCCCTAAGCACGGATCTATCGCTTAACTCGAGAACAGGCAAGCGGAACACCTCCAGAAGCGTCTTCACATCCTACGAACGCGACCTCGCAAAAGCTGCTTGGGCGTCCAGCACTGCGCGACTCACGCGCGATTCATACCTTCCATTTGGGTCATGCTATCTCTGTCTTGAGATAGCTCGTGATCCGGTATCCTGTTGTCGTGGCGATATATTCTGCCGCGAATGCGCCATCTCCAACTTGCTCGCTCAAAAGAAGGAAATCAAACGCTTGATGCGCGCAAGAGAGAAGGCGCAACAGGAACTACAGGATGCTGTAGATCGCGACGACGAGGAGGCACAGAAGCGCGCAGTCAAAGATTTCGAAACGATACAAGCTGGCCTGACACTTGCGCCGCAGCGGGTCGGGCCAGAGTCACCAGCAAAAGATGAACACCATTCCCCTGTACGAACAGGCAAGAGGAAGGCTGTTTTTGATGAAGAGGAGGCAGAGAGGATAGCGAACCAGGATCGTGCTAAGGCGCGAAAAATTATCGACCAAGAGACTGTAGGTCCACATAGACTTCTGCCACCGAACAGCTTGCTAATATGCTCAGTCGAAAGACAAGATGCCATCGTTCTGGACGCCCTCCCAGACGCCCGGAACCAACCCTCTGGAGACAGCCGTGTGGCAGCAGAGGAACAACAAGGTGACGCCGGTATGCCCAGCCTCCACTAATGATGCACAGCACCCCATTTCTCTTAAGACACTCCAGCAGGTCAAGTTTACAAAAGAGGAGCCTGACGCCAGCGCTACCACGGCTCCCAACCCTACGGAGCCCAAGTCCATCTGTCCATCCTGTATGAGAACTCTTGGCAACGCGTCGCGGCCGATGATGGCCGACGCTTGTGGTCACGTAATGTGCCGAAACTGTGTCACCAAGTTCATTCAGCCTAGAAAGATTGCTACTGCTGATGCACCAGACCAGGCCTGCTTCGTATGCGACCGACCCTTGGTTGCGAGCCCGGCTGGCTGCAAAGCCAGTGGTGCAGTAGTAGAGTTTCCGGGGCTTACAGAATTGCGCTCGGACGGAACGGGCTTCTCGGCAAGGGGGTCGAATAAGGTGGAAAAGAATAGCGTTGCTTTCCAATGTTGAGTCGATCCAATAGTAGCGGTGTATCGCGGCACTTCGGACCGTCGAAATAATAATACCCTGTTCTAATAAGTCAATTGACAGTGATGTTTGTTGCTGCGTCATGACCTCTTGCTGATATATGACAATTGGCCTGTGGGCAAAGTTGTTACAAGAGACTCCTGGTATCACTCCCTGACTACCTCGCTATGGCCGAATATGACGCTCAAACGATGCCCCGCGCATTCAGCCTTCCATCCTTTCCCCTCCGACGCCCTGAATCCTGAAGCTGTTGCGCCCCGCAAGACCAAGTCAACCCTGTTGATGCATATATCAATGCCGCACGAGACAGCCACTAAAACTACAAAAGACAATATCATAAGTCATACGCCATCGTCACCTTACCCTCGGCTGCTGACTGATGGCCTCCGCTGCTCCTGCCCTTGCATCCCGAAGCTTGACGATCGTCCTGGAGCGCCGAAAACGATAGCCGATTCGGGTTCGCCTGGCGCGTCCTCGCCATCTGCCAAATTGGATAAGTGGCCTTCGGGTAGCTTTTGCGCCCCAAAGCCCACGACTTTGAATATGCTTGTTCGGCCGCCGTTAGTTGCCATTTGCAGCTGCTCGTGCAGGCGGGCAAGCTGGTAATTGCGCTTGATTGGGTTGACAATAGGCTGCGGCACCACTGGCTGGGGGTTCCAGTGTGAGAGTGCGCTTATGACTGCGGCAGTCTCTTCATCAGAGTCGACAGGCCCCGTATTGGCGTCGTCCTCGTCTTCAATCGGTGCTATGGCGTCAAGAGCAGCTTCTGTACGGATGTGTCAGATTGTGGACAAGGGTGCACCCGCTACCATGTTGTGGCAACTCACTCTGTTGTTTCGCCTGGTTCTTCTTCTGATAAGCTGCCAACAGCATATCGTACGGAAGAGAACGTCCAGCGACCGCACGCTTTGCCCCCATGCTATGGCTTTTGCATGTTAACGATCGAGCACAAGGCATGCCATTGGGAAGCAGGACGCCGCATTGCCGTTCGACGTCCACAGGACCTAGAGTGGGTAATTAGCTTCTTGCCACGACGTTGAATCCGCAAATTGTTTGATGAAGCTTACCCTTGGGTTTCGGGACTTTAGGCTTTGGATCTTCCTTCTTTTTCTTGGTCTTGGGTCCCTTGTCAGCGTCTCCTTCTGCCTTGCGTTTCTTCCCCTTGCCGGCATCCCCATCCGCCTTCTTTCCAGCGGCCTTTTTAGCAGTCTTGCTAGCGCCCGCGACGCCTTTCTTGTCACCATCCTCGTCACCGTCACTATCGTCGTCTCCTTTGCCGTCGCCGTCTTCGTCAGCCTTCTTGGCCTCCTCTTCGCGAAGAGCTTCTTTGGCCCGCTCTCTGGCCTCGCGAGCTTCTTTCTTCCTCTGGGCCTTCTCTTTCTTTACCCTCAGACACTGAGCAATATGGCCTTTGGCTGCCGTCTTGAGGATGCTCTTCTTACAGTGCTTGCATTGTTGCAAATCGGGGCTGTCTTCAAGAGGCCGACCGGTAGCAAATGTCTCTCTGGCAGTATCATCGAGTGGGTTGACTACAGGTCCGGGCGAAGGCGCGTCCGCAGCGTCATTCCCCTTCCGCTTGCGCTCATCTGGGATCCACGATGCAGTGTCAGCGATATCTACCACCCATGCAAGGGTGCAAAGAGAGGGAACACCATACCATCCATAAGATTGCCATCTCGCCATATTCCGGGTTTGTTCGGTTTCGGGACCGGCTTCTTCAATTTGATGGTTCCAGTCGCTTTATCCTTTTTCGACGCCACTTTGATGGTATGTTCTTCGTCTGGGAGAGTGTTGTCAGCAGGGCCAAGAGTATCAACTAGCATCGAACGAGCGCGTACTTTTCCCGGCTCCCGAGACTGTCGCCATGATGTCCCGCTCCCTCTTTGGCGCGACTGATATGCCGGCTACGATTGCTCAGGAGAGATGAGGGCCGTCCAGACCAGCAAGAGGTCGCCGAGTGGGGTTGATCATCCGACTGACGTCGCTATGTATTCGAGATCGGCAGGCACCTATGGATGAATATGCGCAGGGCTTCGATGTTGGTCGCCGTCGGTCGTCGCACTGGTCGTTGTCGTTAGTTGTCGTCGCGTCAATGCCGTCGGAGCTAGTCATGCGTCTGTTCCCAGAACAAGCATGTCATGTTAAGTCGAGCAAAGACTCCACACTCGCCAGGCCTTGCGCCAAACTTCAGCCGCGTGTGGGGCAAGCGCTGTAAGCGCGCCAGCTGAGGCACACCCACTTTCGCAGCCTTGAATGAAAGGGACATCGAAATGATACCCAGGAGGAATACAGGAACACCACATCACATCGATCCGAAGTCCGACGGTCGTAAGTTCAGTGACGTATTTTACTCGTCATTGGGTTCGAAATCAGATGCTGCTTGGTCGTGATCCTCCATGGTATCAAAATTGAACAATGTGTTCACTCGTTTGTTTTCCGCAACCCATCCCATGTCAGAGTCCAGCCAGGCAGTTCATGCCTTGATTCCTTCAATTATAACGCCAAAAAAAAATTGAGCGGCCTTACATGTTTACCACTCGTCGGATAAAATGCCCTCCACTCCAGTCCTATCCAGGGCGTCCTGGTGAGCACGCATAGCCTCCATCATGGAACGAGCGTGCAACATCCCCATGTCACCCCAGATAGTCTGTATGATGTCCAGCGCCCACGCCCAGTAGGATTTTGGCACGCCCGGAGCGCAACTGGCCACCTTGAGCTGGAACAGGAGGGCAGGCAGACCTGCAGCACCAGACCCTCCACCCCCTGCACTCTCGACGGTGATCTGAGCTGCATCGTCGAGCAGAGGATGCCTCCAATGGCTCGGTGTGCTAACTAACACATCTCGTGCCAGCGCTCGAATTGTGTCCAGTACCTGTGCCCGCCTAGCAACCGACACGAGGGGCAGACTCGATATCGGGTTCTGGTTGATGAGATCAAGCAAATTCTGGTCCACCAATATCCGGGCCCAGCGGTAGTAATTCCAGATCCTGGCAAACCACACATCGAAGTATAGATGGTATTCTCCTCGAAAGACTGCTCGTGCCGGGAGATCGGGTGCTTTCTCTATGCGGTAGAGCCATTGACCCTCTAGACTGTCAGCCCACGTCCCCAGCTCGATGTCGAGACTCAGAAGCTGGCGAATTGTGTTGGTAGTTTTCGGCTGCCCGTCGCTGAGAACATGGCCCTGTATGAAAGAAGATATTTGGACAAAGCGAGCAATCAGGAAAGCAAGGTCCGTGGACGGCTGGTCGGTAGGATGCTGGAGTCGAGTGCCGAATGAAATCCAGTCAAAAAATTCGCGGGGTACCTCCATTGCAGTAACTTGTATGGGAATGAACTAGCGGGCCCAAAGTCAACTATGTTCCTGCACCTTTACCACAAAAAAAGTGCCTTTGGGTGGTTGTGATAGGCTCTGGCATTTGCTTACCATGGAATAACACAATTGCATCAAGGCTCTAAACCCTCCAAATGGGGCGTTGGGTAAAGGACACCAGCTCCTCATAAGCGCGGCGCCACCCATGACATGAGCGTGCACAGTGCCCGTGGCATGATGCGTGCCCTTGACGACCTTGCGAAGGGCTATGTCAATATCCCATGGTCATACTTCGGAGAATCAATGAAGCCTCACCTCAAACATGGCAAGCATGACGACAGACCGTATGGTCACTTCGAGACTCGGCGCGTTTGGTGGCTGAATTAACTGGCCGGTCTGGCGCAATGCTTGGCCGTACTTTTGCCGCGCCGCGGCCATCATGTCTAGCGGGTGGAATGTGAGCAATCGGGAGCCTCGGACGATCCCACCACGTCGACAACGTACCTGCATTGCCCGTGAGATTCGACAAGCCTGCGAGCCCGACTGCCGCCATGACATGCTGGAGGGCGGGATTCCACAGCCAAGCTGACGAACCAAGCTCGCCGATCGTTTTTGGCTCGTCTGGGTGACCAAGGAGGTATCGGTCGACATAGAACTGAATACCACGTTCCTCTAGGCTGGGTCCTATCAAAATCGAGGACAGCGTAGGCTCGGCTGTCTCCTCCTTCACGACGGCCACGGCATTCGCAGCTGGAGGGCACGACGATCGAAGGCGAATGTTGCAACCCGCCGGACTGAAATGGTGACGGAGTGCTTCCATTGAGGATCTGGTTTCGGGGGTTTAGGATGCGTACTGGGAGAGAAGCTGGCTACAGCAGAAACGGAGAGCGGACGTGGCGGTTGAAATGGGGGGGAGGGAGATGAGATTGAGGTAGAATTCGAAGGTCGCCGGGACACAGCCGCGGTCGAAACAGCGACAGTGGACGTAGTATCTGACGCAGAATCATGTCCCCATTGAGCATGCGCTTTCTGAATGACCTTGGTGCTCTCATCGCGGAACATGAGCGACAGCTGATCCCGGTATCCAGGGCATTTTTTGCCTGCACGAACACACTGCGAGCATTCGGGTTTGGCCTTGTTGCACTATGTGTCTTGCTGTTTAGAGACAGAAACCAGAAATAGGCACTCGGGATTTTCTGTCCATAGCGACTTACCTTGATACGGCGGACTCGGCAGTGCTCGCAGCCCTGTGAGGCCTTACCACAGTAAACCATGGTGTAGATGAGTGGAAGCGCGGGGAAAGGGGGCGTGGGGGCGTGAAGAGATCCGTATACTACGGCATGTGAGTAGTTGACTCGGCTCACTGGTTTTCCCAGTGTCCACCAATACAACAGTAGTCAGTTGTCACCGAGAAAAAGCTTGTTTCGTGACGAGAAGAATGCTGCTGCTACTTTGGCTCACGAACGTGGCCTAGTCGTCCATGTCCCAAACAAGAGGCCGGCAGTGCAGGGCCACAAGATCACCTCCAAGAGAACGTCAGCGCCCACCAGTAGACTTTTTGTTGCATGGGATAGTGCCGGTGCGCGTCGTGCGTGGTGTGTGTGTGTCCTCGGGCGTTTGTCGGCGAGCCAGTTAAGCTGATGGCAAGTGGCTTCCCCAGTCAGTCAAACGTCCCCCTTGACGCTGCAGGGCCTACAAGGGTACCGGACGCTCAAGTACGACAGGTCGGTCCTATACTTAGGATGGTGGTTGATGGAGTCGTATTTCTCAGATAGGTAAGACTAGGTAAGGCAAGGCACCAACTGTTGGTGCGATACAGTGGAGGCGAATACAATGCAGGGGAGGGCGCTCAAGATCGGAGGCGATGCAATGTAGGTACGATGCACTGAGAACTCTGGTGGTGGGTTCATGAATGGTCCTGATTGATAATCCGAGCCAGCCGTCCGTCTTCCCAACGTTCAGCGCTCACACACGCATACGACAGGTCGCCGCCCGGACGAGGAGATGGGGAGCTGAGGAGCTGGGGAGGTTCGCAGTCCAGACCTCGTCCGAAGCCCCGTGTCTCAGGCGGACCCTGGCGCCAGCTCTATTCCTCTAGTTGGTAGGTACCTTACCTTCTATAACCCTTTTGACCTTGCCGACCTCACCTAGGTACCTGCCTTACCTTACTCAAGGTACACCTTCTCCCATCCGACATCACGTGCTAAGGGGCCGGCTACCAGGCTGGCCCGCCTCCGTCGGACTACGTTTCTCCGCTGTTTCTCGAGGGCCAAGGCTCTGGGCGCCGGTGATCACAGGGGCTGCTGTACAGTACCCTTGGGTGGCCCGTAGGGTTACCCGCGCTCTGGTTAAGCACCTAGGCAGGTGCTTTTTTATAGGCAGGGAGGCGGGTTAGGTGGTTCGGTGGTCGGGCTTGCCAAGGAACAAGGAATCTCTCATGACCCCTGCGGTTTCAACTGCTTAACTACCTAGGCAGGGTCGGCCATTTAGAGCAACTGGTTACCAGGTTCGTCTCTGGCGATCAAGTGCCCACAAACAGCGTGCATCGGTGCTCAAGACTCCTACGTAGGTAGGTACCTTACCTTAGGTAGGTACCTTAGTTCCTAGGTAGCCGGATGGACGTTCAGCGGGGTAAAACCACACCAGGTGCCCCACACCCTCTACAAAACATCCAGCCCAGAAGAGACTCTCGACGGAAGCCACTGTGAATTACCTCGAGTTGACCTTCAGGGTCGAAAAGACCAGTGGCAATCATCCCCACCCCGCCATACCCCGACGTGTGGGGAGATATGCACTGCAATTGAATGAACGACCATCGACGCAAGATTGCCGTGCCAAGCTACATCACACATCCACACTCGCAACGGCGCGGCTGATGGCCTCCCACCAGGGTAGTTGGCTTCAACCTCAGTAGCCGCCCCTCCATGCTGCCCTCACCATGTATCCTGGTCTGCTCCAGGCACTGACAGAAGATCATTACTTTTCGCAGGCCAGAAGGCAAGATGATTCGGGCAGCAGTCTGTATGACGTAACACGTGGCGGCAGTGATCTTCTGACCCAGTGCCCTGGCTGTCCTTTGAGCTGGCAGGTCTGACCCTTTCCGTTCTTCCCGTCTGGGGTTGGCCCACGACGTCATCGGCTGTGATGTAGGACCAACCTCTGAGATGGCGCCCGTGACCAGGCAAAGACGGACAAGCTCAGCCCAAGATACGGGCACTCGTCCCCGAGGTACCAGGCCATCCCCAGTCTTGGCTAGTGAGTCGCCTTGCCAATCTCCCTGAATACGTCAGATCGCTCCTGGTGCACGACATTCTAGATATCATAAGAACCGCAACTTGACACCCCCGCCCTCCAGACTTCAACCGTCACAATCATCACCCTCTCACGTACCACCCCCCGCGCGCCCTCTTCCCTCACCCTTCTCATACTCAACGAACTTTGATCAAATAGTATTCTACAAGTAAAAACGTGGCACAAGCCGCCTGCATCACATTCGGACGGACACTGGGAAATTCTACATACCCAATATGGAAACGATCACAAACGTAACCAACGCTGCCGTCAAGGCCGTCTGGGGCACGTCCGAGACCAAGCAAGAGCCGGTCTCTGGCGTCCAGGGCGACACCGCCAAGGGCGAGGCCCTACGATGCCGGCAACCTAGGTAAGCCTCTTGTCTAGCCCAAAGTGGTCCCTCGTTCCCGTCTTAACAAGGAGAAAACCCACACAGAGCCCCAGAGTGTTCACAATGATGTCACAAACCCCAAGAGCCTTGCCAGACGATAATGAGAAGCAACTCCAAGACGCCAAGAACACGCTCGGCGCCGGCGCCGACCACTCACTGCCAGTACCGACATTGGGAAACCAGAGCTCGCCGATGCCAAAGCTCGAGGCACATCAACAAGCCC